ACCGTTTCCTTTTATCAGCAAGGATGAGCCATTCCCACTTCTTGGGCAGTAGATCCCATCTCTTCTCACCCCTGCATTAATTTTTTTACTTTCTCTCCTGGACATTCCTATCTCGATAAAAGCATATTGCTACTTCTCTCATCTTAAAAATAAACCTTGTCTTGACCACACTAGCCTTTCAACTGCCACCCTCTCCAGAAATCTCAAGAGTTAGTTGTCTGTAGATTTTTCCTTATATCCCTAGCCTTTCATTGTTTTTGAACCCACTCCAGTCAGGCCTTTGTCCCAATGTTATACTAAAACTACTCTTATCAAGGTCACAAATACTCCCTACATTGCTAAGTTTGTCAAATCGCGGTCTTCATCTTACATAACCTCCCAGCAGCATTTGATTCAGTTCATCACTTACTCCTTGAGCACTTTCTTCACTTGGTCCCACAGCACCACAATGCCCAGGTTTTCTTCCTATCTCACTGGATGCTCCTTTTCTGACTTAACACTGCAGCTCCCCAGGACTCTATCATTGGACTTTTCTTCTCTTACTATTCACTCCTTTGATGATCTAATCTCAAGGCTTCAGAAAACGTCTCTACCCTGATGATTCCCAAATTTATATGTCTAGCCTGAGCATCTCCTGGAAACACGAGACTAGTATATCCAACTGCCTACTCACCATCTCTACTTGACTCTCTAATAGGCATCTCAAACTAACATGCCCAAAATCAAACTCCTGATTATCCTCCAAAACCTACTCCTATCCTAATCATCCCCATTTTATTAACTGCAACCTCAGAGGCCTATATTCGTCTGTGAGTGATTCTCCAGGATTTGTACGTAATTGTCACAAAGGAGATATATTTTGATGTCTATTTGATCTTCAGGTCCTTTGGGATTGAAATACAAAGTAAAACAGATTTCTTTTTTAAGTTGGGAGGGCATGACTTTCAGTTGGAATTAATTCCTAATAGAGACAGGAATGATAGCTAATGCATTGGTGGTGGCCTTAAAAAAGAATCTTAATTTCAAAGATTTTTATTTTACTGACCTCCACCACACTCTGCATCGTCACCTCAACTGAGCATGTAATAAACTCAGCGTGATAACTGGCAGTCATAATTACTTTAGAGGTGCTTCTATTTATGTGGCTGTCCATGTTACTGAGTAGTTACATGAGAGTCATACCTACCAGATCACACATTTTATCTACTACGGAAGTCATAATACAACTTGTATTGTATTGTAGTACAACCTCCAGCTTCAGCTGGAAAGATGAGCTATGTGGGCTGGGCAGTGTCTCTATCTCAATCTTAACTAATGTTAATACCAACCAAGAGCATGGTCAAAAAGCATGGAATCCCAGGCCCAACACCTATGGATTCTGATTTGGTAGATGTAAGGTGGGGTCCCAGAATCCATATTTTTTGACAAATACTAGGGTAATTCTTCTATTTGGGAAAGTTTGGAAAGAACTGGTGTGTGAAGATGAGACTAGATAACCTGGTAAGAAACCAACGTTAATAATAACAATAAACAGACACAAAAGGTACAAGTGTTAAACGAAATTGTTGATATATTCAGAGATATTACCATTAAGAATTCCTTCCTATCATTAAGAATACCCAAAGATACCATAAAAAATTAAAATGCCTGCCACAGACAAAAGATATGCACAGCATAATGCCAGAAGATGTGGAACAGGAAAGTCTCTTGCCCGTCTGATGGGGGTAGGAGTCAGCACAATCTCTTCAGAAAATGACAGGCATTACCAAGGTTGAGCATGGACATACTTTGAGTCTGTAATTTTACTTTCAAGTATGAGACCAACAGAAACGCTTGCAGAGGTACACTGGAGGACTTGCATAAGCACATTCTTAGCAGTGTTATTCATAACAGCAAAAAACAACTAGAAACAATCCAAATGTCCATCAATAATAAAATGAGTAAATAAGTTGTAGAATAATTTTACAATGAAACCTTACACAGCAGTAAGAATAAATGGACTACAGCTATGTGTCAGCATATACAAATCTCAAAAATACGATTTTGAGTGAAGGCAAGTCATAGAAAAATACAAACAGCATGGTTCCATTTACATGAAGCTCAAAAACAAGCCAACTAGGGACCAGCCCGGTGGCATAGCGGTTAAGCTGGTGCACTGTGCTTTGGCAGCCCAGGGTTCACAGGTTCGGATCCTGGGCGCGCACAGATGCACCACCACTTGTCAAACCATGCTGTGGCAGCGTCCCATATAAAGTAGAGGAAGATGGGCACAGATGTTAGCCCAGGGCCAATCTTCCTCAGCAAAAAGAGGATTGGCAACAATGTTAGCTCAGGGCTAATCTTCCTCACACACACACACAAAAAAACAAGCAAACTAATGACATATATATACACATATATATATATAGTGTACCACCTAAAGGGAACACTCCAGTGGGATGGTGTGGTGGCAGTGGAGGGATGAGAAGTAGTTCAATTGTAGATATATTCTGAAGACTACAATATCTACATTATTTATCACAGTTATTGTGAGGATCAACTGAGAAGGAATAACTTTAAAACTACAAATATCATTAATCCTATAAAGCACATGCTCTAATCTCTACTAGTCAGTCAACATTTGTGATAACATTCACTTAGAAATTCATCAAGTGTTTAGTGGGAGGAGAATGCAAATATATTTTTATTAAATTGTAGTTAGGGAATTGTCTGATGTTCTATTTTAATGAGCCTTACTAAAAAATCATGGAAATCAAGACACTCCAGGAGCCTTTTCTAGGTGTCTTCTTAAAAGCCTACAAAACAGTGCTATAAGCAAGGTTGATTTAAAAAAAAAAAAAGGCAAGGTCTACTCGGAGCTCAAAAGTCATGAGGAAGATATGCACATACACGACTATAACAGTGGTTATGGAGACAGGCTAGAGGTAGGCTAAGCCTTGGAAAATGAGACAACTGAATCCAAGGAATCTGGAAACCCACCCAGAAGAGACTTCTTCTAGCACACAGTTATGACCAGTGTGTAATTTAACTCATTTTAAGCTCAGCTCACCTTAAGCAGAAGCTGACATAACGTGCTCGCTTTAAACACAAAACACCGTGGTGCCTGCTGCACTCAGATTAAATTAAATACCTTTCCCTCCAAGCAGAAGCTTCCTCACAAATGCCAGAGAGGGGGAGATTTTGGAGTAAAGCATTGCTTTCCAGCAGTAACGAAGCAACTGGAACCACATTTTATTTCGTACCCTTTCCCATCAAGACTCTGCCATCCTGTCTGTACTGTTACTGTCTCCCTCCTTGAAGTGTCTGTTGATTTGTTTATTAGAGCAGATTTTAGTCTAGCGGGCCAGATGGCCAAGCCCTTGCTTATAAGAAGGTATAGGGGTTCACGGAAACAGCAGAACTGCTACAAAAAGGGCATTAGTATGTTTTGCTATAGGTATTTAGAAAACAGAAAATTAACAAGAACTTTAAAAACTTGCTGCTGCAAGTGTGGTCCAGATCCCAGCAGCCATCTGCCTGAGACAGACATGCAAATTCTCAGGCCCACCCAGACCTAATGAATCAGAATCTCGGGGGGTGGGACCGAAGGATCCACGTTTTAAAGAAACTCCCTCAGGTGATTCTGACACTTGCTGAAGTTTAATAAGTACTGTTTTACAACACAAATGCACTAATGCTTAGACAAACCAGGAGCATGGTTAATAAGAAAAACCTATTTTATTTTTTCCTATTTAAGAACTCAATTGTTGAGTGAGGTTATTCTGCTCTATCACCACAGTTGTTGTCAGTTCTCATTTTACAGGTATAAATACAAAATATTTACAGAATACCTTACCTACCCATGTGTCAAGTACCAGTAAGCCAGCAAAATAAAAAATGAGCAGCCCAAATGTATGCTACAAATAGGGATTCATAATTACCTTCCAAGAAAATATTGATGTTCAGAATCATTTTATCCTACAAGAAAATATACACTTTGCCAGAAGCAAAGCAAGTCTACAATTTAGAATTTCTACAAGTACTCTATATATGCATATAGAAGCATGTGTGTACAAGTGTGTATATGTACATGTTTGTGTATAACATATATACAAATATACATATGCACGTACATGCACACAATTTCAGCCTATAAGGAGCTAAATATCTGTAAAATGTGGCGATATGGTCTGCTTAAGATTAGAGATGGCCAAAGCTATATTTTTATTTCTTAAAGATACCAACTCATTCAAGACTGAAACGCTTTTAGCATTTCAAAAATGGGCAGAAGATCTGCTACCATCCTGATGAAAACAGACTTTGCTCTCTGAACCATGGATCCCAAAACTGAGGAATATTGCCCAACCATACTGTTTAGACACCTGCCTACCTTATTCACTAAGAATCAGAGGGCATTTACCAAATGTGTGCTAAGTAATTTTCAAAAAAATATTAGAACTTGGGAAATAAAGTTCAATAACTTAACTCTCAACAAACAGATTAACAAAAGTTTTTTTAAGGAGAATAAATTGTCTCACTTGTGTATTACTGTTTTTCTTAAAAGGGGGAAGAAGGTAAGGTCCCTTTTCATCTCACATTCAATTATCAGCAAATTCTTTACAAAATGCAGAACTCCAGTGTCCATGACAGTAGGACTAATGAGTCATCTGAAGAGGACCTCTCCCCTTGAAGTTCTAAACGTGCTTCTCAGGAAGCTATTTCCAGTAGTGCCTAACTTCCTATAGGAGCCCTGACTACCTGTTTACACTTTGAGAGCTTAAGGATAAAACTCCTATCTTACCCTCAAATTCAACCTTTCACTGACTTTGCCATCCTTTACTTGCTCTGTTTCTTCTTCCATGATAGGAAAATGTTTATCTGATAAAGGAGCACTCAGAAAGTTAAATATTTCACCATGCTCTTTAATTTCTCCTATAAACCAAAATATGAAGGACGGAAGGAAGGAGGAAAAGAATGGAGGGAGGGAAAAGAACTCATTATTTCCTATCATTAAACTTTGATGTGATGGAAAAAAGAGAAGTTTGTTTATCTTGAAATTATTTTAATTTAGAAATAGAAAACATCTTGGAAGAAAAAAATGAAAGAAAACCACAAAATATATAGGCAAATTTTTACTCCATGAGCTTCTCAAATCCTCACTTATTCACCAATCCCCAAGATGAAAAACACTCTTCTAAAAAGGTATTCAGCCACCACTGTAAAAGAAACAAAAATGGTCAATTTTGAGTGTATATAAGATTTTAATAATAATTTGAAATGCAATATGCTGTAATTTTACATAACCAAAACAGTTATTTGAGAACCACACCTATATTATCCCAAGACAGCATAAAAGAGAAGAAACTGAACTTTAAAATCTTGGAACTGAAAAGGTCATTAGAGATGATGTGGCTGCCGGCACAGGCTTATCTTAAAAACTCAGAATCCTCATTTGGAAAATGTGTTTAACAGTCTAGCATAACGTCTTTCTGAATAAGATGAAAAATATGAATTACATAACACAACAGTTAGTTGAGAAGTTTTTCAATTTGATGTACAATCAGCCAGTTGAAAATAAAGAATGCAGACTAGCACAATAGTTCTTAACCACTATATCTTACTGTAGTCACTCAAAAACCTGGTTTAATCATAATGAAAATAAAAATCACCTTTTCTAAGAAGAACTTCTAAGTTTCAAAAGCATAAACATTAAAACTGTATACTGAGATATATATTTTAGAAGTTGTTCTAATACAAAACTAGTATAAATAATAATGTTGGATAAGTTAAAAATTCAGGGGCCAGCCCCGTGGCTTAGCGGTTAAGTGTGCGCGCTCCATTACTGGCGGCCCGGGTTCGGATCCCTGGCATGCGCCGACACACCACTTCTCCGGCCATGCTGAGGCCGCGTCCCACATACAGCAACCTGAAGGATGTGCAACTACGACATACAACTATCTACTGGGGCTTTGGGGAAAAAAGAGGAGGAGGATTGGCAATAGATGTTAGCTCAGAGCCGGTCTTCCTCAGCAAAAAGAGGGGATTAGCATGGATGTTAGCTCAGGGCTGATCTTCCTCAAAAAAAAAAAAAGAAAAAAAAAATTCAAAAGCCTTCCACGAAGGAATCCAGCAAAAAGGAATTTAATGAGGATAATGTTCCATTCTTAGGCTGAAAACAAACCACTCCAACTGTTTAAACCCAGGCTAAAGGAAATTTATTGTAGCAGTTATTTATAAAAAACTGTCTGAGGATTTTAGCCCATAGCAAGAGAACATCCGTAGTAGGCATTTGATTCTAAATACTGGATTTTAAGAGGGCTAATGAAATGCAAACTGGAGCGTGAAGTGAGAGAATGTGACTCAGAATGGGGAGTGTTCTCAAACCGAGCCAGAATGAGAGACAGGGTATACAACAGATAAGAATACAGGCTCCCAAGCCAGTCAGCCTGGGTTTTACATGCTGCTCTACACCACTTACTAGCCACGCAACTTGAGTAATTACTTACTCTCCACGTCTGTTTCTTCATCTATAAAATGGAAATACAGTCATGCACCACATGACGTTTCAGTCAATGATGGACTGCACATACAAAGGTGGTCCCATAAGGTTAGCACCACATAGCCTAGGCGTGTAGTAGGCTGTACCATCTAGGTTTGTATAAGTGTATATACACACACTACAATGTGTGTATGTATATATACACACATTGAAACATATATATATACATGCACACTACAGAATATATATATACACGCACTACAGAATGTGTATATATATATACACACATATATATACATACACACACATACACAAAAACACGTTTGCCTCACAACTCATAATCTAGTGTGAAAGACAGACCACACCAATGACCCATGGCAGACAGTAATGTTTGGCGAGAGAGTTAAAAATACAGCGCTAAGTGAAGGCTGAGGAAAAATGTGAAAAGCGGTCATATACCAAAATAATGAAAGAGACTTACATGTTGTTCCCAAGGGTAAAACTAAGAACGAGGGGCATTTATAGGAAACAGGTTTCCTATCAAGTAAACCCGTCTGACAATGAAATGGGAAGCAAGAAGAGCAGACGCACCGAGCTGCATGCAAAAGAAGCGACTTCACAGAGAATATCCCATCTCTTCTGTTTACTGATTAGGCAACTGCAGCCCAGAGACACTGAGTCTCAGGTTTCCCAATTCTACTTCAGTATTCTCTCCATAATTCCACAACTCCAGGTATTCTCATTGGTAATATAACAGAAATTTCTGAGCTGATGGAAAAGATTTGAGAGATTTGGTCCTTTCCAGGTCTAATTTTGTACGATCCTAAGATACCCTTTTGTGGCACTCCTGCTTAATAACTATGATAACCTACTTTAAAAATCCACCTGACAATACTCATTAAGTCACTTGTCATTTAAAAGACAACCTTCACCAGTATCCGTAGTACAAAATCTACTATTTAAGAGATTTATAGTTTACAGTGCATTTCTAAATAGTTGCTTCAAACCTCCTCATCCCATAAAATAAGCCTAACAGGCACTGCTACTTCCAAATGACAGATAAGGCTCAGAGATTAAATGAATACAAAATCACAGAGCAAATAAGTACTGCAACTCACACTAAGCCTTTACACCAAACCAAACTGCCTAAGACTACTCTACTTGCTCATTGCCATCAGGTGTCCCAATAATGTAAAGAATCTAAAAGGCAAAAGCATTTAGAAAAGAATAAAGTAATTCCAGTGTTTTTCAGTCTTTTCTCCTCTCTAATATACCAAAAGGTTAAGATACCCTCCCTATAGTATCAATGGCTCATTACAGCAACAACTCCGATTTAAGTTCTTACTCAAATTGTTTTTTAGCTTTTTATGGTTAAGTCATTAATCTTTACTATAACCCAAGTAAGAACTATTATCCTTACTGAATAAACTGGGCACAGAGAAGCTAAGTAAATCGCCCAAAGCTAAGATAGCTATTATGTTAACGAGAAAAAAGATCTGAACCTAAGCGATCTGATCCAGAGTTTGACCTCCATCACTAGAGTGATTTTCAGATGGGGAGCATTTCCTCTGCACTTTAAAAATCAACAAGTGAATATACTGCATAAAGACGACTTGCATTTGAATATTGGTTCTGTCACTGATACTTGCTTTCTCACATACTGAGAACCTTTAACTCACTTCCCTGATCCTTTAAAATTTTATTTATTAAAGAAAATAGTGCCTATCTCACAGAGTTGCTATAAAGATTGTCTAAGATATAAAGTCACTTTGAATTATCAGTTATCAGGAATTATCAGTAGACTCTAGCAGCATTAAAGAGTCAAGAGACATATCTGCGTATTAACCAAACAGCAAGCTATCAACTCGAATGGTTTCAATTTTCATTCCATCCTAGATATTGTCTATTGCAAAAAGTTTACTTACACAATGATGTTATTAATAGGAATATGGATCAATTTCACAAAAAAGCCAATGAATCCCATTATAGCAAATCCTATTGCTGTTGCCATGGCAATCTTCTGGAATTCTGAATTTAAAAACACAAAATTTATATTATTTTTTGCACTGTTATTGCAATTAACTAGCAGTGACACAAAGCTACTGGCGTACATTTTAAATCAAACAAAATACGACACTATTAATAGTAAATAAATTGTGTAACAGATTTTTAAATTTTCCTATTTTATTGATATTTAGGAAACACAGAAATAAAGTGCATGCCCACGCTAGTGAATCCATCAACAAGCAACAAAATATTTTATCTTCTTAGCAAATGACCAAAATACCAAAAAGAAATGAAAACGTAGATAGAAGAAACACACAGTATTTGTCTTAAAAATTTTGCTAAAAATATTGATCACAAGAGCACAGAACATAACTTTTTATAATCTATAGGTGTACTGTCTTTGGTATTATATAAGCCAAAAATAAGGCTTAAAAATCAAACTGAGTTGAGCCCAATTTTACGTAAACATTTCAGACTCTGGTAACGTTTCTGTTTAACATTATTTCCACTGGGAAGCTCTCCCTGCCCTCCTGACTTGGTTAGTCCCCCTACTATGTGTTATCAAACCTTCTTCAATTCTCTTCCATAATACTTACTACAGCAGTAAGTAAAAACTATAACTGCCATTGCTTATGACCATCTTCCCTGAAACATTCTAAGCTCCATAAAAGCAAAAGCTATTCTCTATTATGTTATATATTTTTAGATATTACACTATATGTATAATACAATGTAACATATTATATTCTCTATTATATTCCCAGCTCGTAACTCAGGCAGCAGTTAACAAATAAAAGAGAAATTCTGGTGTACTTTTTAACACATGAATCATGATAAACAAGAAATTAAACTCGGACCAGCCCCAATGGCCTAGTGCTTAAGTTCGATGCGCTCCGCTTCTGCGGCCTGGGTTCAGTTCCCAGGTGTAGACCTACACCACTCGTCTGTTACTGGCCATGCTGTGGTGGCAGCTTATATAAAAAAAAGAGGAAGACTGGCAACAGATGTCAGCTCAGGGCAAATCTTCCCCAGCCAAAAAAAAAGAAACAAAAAGAAATTAAACTTCCTAGGTTGGCAATAACTATGCTGTTGATTTCACGTTAAGGTTTTGTTTGGGGAAGGAGAAGGGGCACAGTAGCAGAGCAGGAAGGACTCCAAAAGATTAGACACTAAAAACTCTAAAGTCATTAAATATGACTAAGGCAAACGTAACACAGAAAATAAGGCTGTGATAAATAATCTTATACCACTTGCAAATACACAAAACAAAAAAGTTTATAAAGTGTACAAAATTTAGGAAGCAGTGACAATGTTAAAAAGCAATAAAGCAAAATAAACCAGTAAAAATGACGAAAGTTACTGCAACGGTTATTAAACAGAAAGATATTAATCAAATAAAAGCCTTAGAAAAGGCAGATTTAATTTTTTCTCTCATTTTAAAGGCATTACCTTTTCTATCAGGTTTAGTGCATCTTTTAACCAGTCGAATCGAGTCCTTCACAAACTGCCGGCTTGGCTCAACGAACTGCATTACCTGATCCATGACTCCTGTTTAAAAAAACAAAAAAGAAAAAAGATACTCACTAGTATTTATCCTACAGCAAGAACTTGCTCAGTTATACCAAAATGGAAACGAGACCAGTCATGAATTCATGTCTGATATGGGTCAATTCCACCTCATAAAAATAAAACAAAACAAAATACAGACTCCAAGCCTAAATTGACGTTATTTTTCTAAACTCCAGCAAAGCAGCAGATTAAAGGCAGTAAGAAAAACATGGGTCTTACCCACGTTGTTATCACTGACAAAGGACACATGCTCTTAATATAAAAGGGCTATTACTATCAAAAAGTTAAGCAATTGACAACACACTCACTCCTTACCCACTCTGCAGTCCTCTCATTGCTCTTGCTAAGCAACCAACAATGTTGCGATCCAACAAATATTTTCTATATTTTATTTTAAACTCCCCAGAAACCAGTGCCTAGTGCAGTGAATGCCAACTATGGTGCTGCAAGAGTCTAGAGCAGAGGCAAACATGGATTTCAATCTGATTGTTCTAAACCATGGGCACACAACACTTTTAAAAAAGAGTATATTTGTGTGGGATAGATCTATCAAATTTTCAAAACCACAAAGACTGACCAAACCAAGATCCAGATTCTGAGAAGCTATTAGCTAAACTCCAAACCGTTAGATGTGGACACATCTTTTAAGGAAACAGTGCTATATATTTTACCATATAAGTTCTTTTGAGGAATCTATTACCTAACAGAGATGTCACCCAATCTTACCTTTAAGAGCCACTGGTATGAGAGCTAATGAGGCCAGTTTATCACTTGTATTTTACTATAACTGCAGTGGTTAGAACAGCAGCCAGGCACATAGATACTCAATAAATTTTTGTTGAATCAATGAATGAACACCATTGTGGTGGTTCAAATCTGTCTATGAAATGTAACCTCTCTAAGCCCCAGTTTCCTCACCTACGAGGGCAGCTGGAATGATGTGTATGAAACACTTACAATGTACTAGGAATTCTATAAACATTCTGGGCCAAGCATATTGGGTTCCTCGAAAAACACAGTAATGCCTGTTTTCTCAGTATTTCACCTTGTTCTTCCAGTCCACTGAGCTTAAACTTTATAGACGTCATGATTAAAGCTAAGGACGCTGTCTCCAAAAAAAAAAATGCACAATACACGGCACACTGCCCTCAGTGTCACGGGGGGATCTGAGAACCCACTATGATCCCTGATCTAGAATCCAAACCCATCCTCCACTTCCCACCACAGGAGTGGCGGCAGGGCAGGGCGAAACACAGCTCTTCCGAGACAGGACCCCCCCCCCCTCCCCACACCCAGAGCTAACCCCGAGGCGACTCTCGGCGGCTGGCCTCAACTCTGACTAGGGCACAGAAGCCCCCGAGAGAGTAAGGGTTCACGCCAAGCTGGCCGAAGTCCAGGCCAGGGGTCCGGACCCCGAAGGATCACAGGCCGCAGAGCCCTGTCCCCTGGGACCTCGAGGCCGCCGTCCCGGTCTCCGCTTCCACACCCGGCTGTGCGGGGAGAAGTGTAGGCGGCCGGAAGGGCCGGACCCTGGTCTCGGACCCGAACGAGGGCTCCGCTTACCGCCCCCGCGAAAGCCGACCAGGGAGCCCGGCTTGCCAGGCCCGCCGACTCCTTGAGTCACAAAAGCTTCGCCCCGTGCCCCCGGAGACACGGCCTCACCTCCCAGCCGACACCGCGGAGGCCTGCGACACGTAGCACTAGAGCAGAGAGACCACGGCCCACCGGAACCGGAAACCAGGTCTCGGGCCTACCGCCCGCCCACCCCTCCATTCATTGGTCCCTACGCGGAGCCCTCAGTGCGCAGGCGCAGCTCCACGTGCGCCCGGGCCGCGCTTCCCGGAAGAGGTGAGCTGAGGGCGTGCGACAGGCGTCCCGTTGGCTCTCGGGCTTCCTCCGCGGCGAGTGCGCGTCTGCTGCGTGCCCTCGGGGGAGTCCCCGCTGCTGCCCGGCCGTCTCCTCCTCGTCGCGCCGCCGGCGGACCTAACGTAACGTAGTGCGTCTCCGCTACCGGGTTTCCACTGACAGGGTGGTTTCTCCTGTAACTGCTGCGGTTCGTGCTGGGTCGTGTGCCCACCGACTGTCGATACTTTGTGTATGTATTTAATTTTACTGATCAAGATGGAGCGTATAAACAATATCGCGGTATTTTGACCGACCTAACTCGAAATAGTCTCCCCACCCCCAGACCTGGCCTGCCTCCGGCGTCAGTCTTGGGAACATCGTGGAATTGAGGCCGTCGCTTGGTGTATGCTAGGTCTGGTTTGGGGAAGTGGTGATAACGTGTGTGTGTCATCTATGTGTTTTGCCGAGAGCACTGTGAACCCAGACATTTGGTGATAACTGGCGAGCTTGGAAACCTGGGATCTGATGTTTTTAGAATGAACCATTCTTTCAAAAATCATTTATAGAGCGCCTACTGTGTGTTACACCTTACTAGGTGCTGTGACTAAGCCAGACGTGTCAGGCTCTCTTGGAGCTTATTATGGTCTAGTAAGGGAATTTAAAGTGTAGGGAGGGGGACAGACAAGAAAACAAAATACAAGTTAATAAAAATGCTACATGGCGAATAAAGAGGGTGTTGTGAAGAGAGAAGAAGAAAAATTGGTGGGATAAAGACAGGAATCCCTTAGATGGTCGCTGTAGGGCTCTGAGATGACACATGGGCTGAAATCCCGGAGATGAAGAATTACTCAAACCCACCCCAGTCTGTTCGGAATTTAAAAGTGACTCTTAAAACTAAGGCAAGGTATACATTATGAAGGTTGCCATTTGTGTGGACCACCACAAGCATATGGAGAAGGTGTTAAAAACGTACGTTCCTATTGTCTAACCCACTGAATCAGAATGTCTGGAGGTTTAAGAATTAGAAATCTACATTTTTAAAAAACTTAGGAGTAAGTTTTAGGTACTGAAGTTGATAGCTAAAAACTTCAGTCACCTTTGGAGAATATAAAAGAAGCATGTAATTATTTTGAAAACTGGCAAATAAAGGGTAAGAATCAAGCATTTATCCTGATTTTCCTATACTATCTGACCAAAACCATTGAGGGGAAACTCCTTTTTATAAAATTATTCTAGCTAATAAACAACACCTACAAAATGATATTACCATTTTGTAACAGAATATTACAAAAAAATTACCATTTTGTTAGAATATTACCATTTCGTAATAAGTTAATGGATTAGGCTACAAGTCAAGTGAACACATATTTCCAGGAAAGGGCCAGAGAGTAAATATTTTAGGGTTGGAGGCCTTCAAGTCCCTGCTGTTTAGTGTAAAAGCAGCTGTAGGAAATAGGTAAATGAATGGATGCAATTGTGTTCCAATAAAACTTTGTTTACAATAGCAGAGGATCAGATTTGGCCCACAGGCCATAGTTTGCCAACTCGTCATCTAGACAAGCTTATCAATGCCTGATAACATCACAAAAGAGAGATCAGACATGTACTTGTGATGTAAGAACAATACAACACTGCCTGTGAAGTAGCCTTGACAAGAAAAAATAATAATAATTGAACCTAGTCACACATCAAAACTCTAGATCTACCAGTGTGGTATTGCTTGTTAACTATAACTCTTAGGTTAAGAAAATTGTGAGAAACATCGAGGTTGGAGTTGTTATAAGATATATATTCTAAAAATGTTTTAATTTTAGACAGTAAAATTGGCACCCTGCTATGATGAGAAAATTAACATGCTTCTTCCTTCCTTACTCATCTCCCCCCCAGTTTCTGTTAGTGTTTTGAAATATTTCCTAAGTGAAGGATGATTCTCTTGGTGAAGCCCACTTTAATACTTTTAAAACAAAGTAAAGGGCCGGCCCCGTGGCTTAGCAGTTAAGTGCGCACGCTCCGCTACTGGCGGCCCGGGTTCGGATCCCGGGCGCGCACCAACGCACCACTTCTCCGGCTATGCTGAGGCCGTGTCCCACATACAGCAACTAGAAGGATGTGCAACTATGACATACAACTGGTCTACTGGGGCTTTGGGGGAAAAAAAAGAGGAGGATTGGCAATAGATGTTAGCTCAGAGCTGGTCTTCCTCAGCAAAAAGAGGAGGATTAACATGGATGTTAGCTCAGGGCTGATCTTCCTCACACACGCACAAAAAAACGAAAAAA